GCAGCAGCAGCAGCAGCAGCAGCTACCAGATGGGTCTCTGAAAGGCACAGTGTGTGATGACACCAGCGACAGCCTTCAGGAGATGAGAGACGTCACACAGTGTTAGCAGTGTGGCATCAGCAAAGAGGACAAGGGCATCAAGGTTTGGCCTGGAGCCGAGGAGAGGAGAGGAGGATGGAGGAAATTAAATCTGAAGAAAGGTCGAAATACGAAACATAAACGAGAAAGAAATGCGAAAAGAGACGCGAAAACCATGTTTACAGTTCACACACCGAGGGAGAGTCCAACCTTTAACTTGTGTGTTTTAGGGAATTATCAAGCATCTGTGTTCAAGTCTGAAAAACCTGAGGGGAATTCAGACCATTAAAAAAAACCAACGCTATTTCTGGGTCATATTTAAGATTTGACCTTTATAACAGCTGAGATGCAGACCCTGGAGGACCCTGAGCCAGAATGTCAACATTGTGCATAGAATTTCAATTTGAGAAGATGTTTGTACATGTGTTTCATTGGTCAATTCATAAAAGTAGAAACTGTGGACTGTATTTTTACTCCGTACTCCAAAAACTGGATTAAGTGACAGTTTCTGTATATGATTACAGTATAAAGTCAATAACGCACAGACAGTAATGATAACAACAACCAAACAATAATAACAGATATCTGAAACATGGATTTGGACCAGCCAGCCACAACGATGACATCATCCCACTGATCCACGTGAAGCGTCGTCCACCAGGTGATCAGATGAGGAGTACTCACCTGGCTGCTCGTCATCTAATACCACACAACCAGGCACTATTCATCTGATCAGCTCTCTGCCAGCTGAACGTCTGCTGTTCTCTGTGTGTGTGTGTATGTGTGTGTGCGCGCCCGCACACACAGACAGCACTTTAAGACTGGCACTCGGCCAGGGGTACAGTGGGCTGTCTATTAAAGAGCAATAACTTTCTAATTGGATATCAGTTTCTACCCGATCGACCCATTTGCCCCAGCAAGAGCAAAGAGACAAAAAGGCAAGGTGAGGAAGGGCGAGGGAGCGGGAAGACGAGCGAGGCCGTAGGATGAAGACGGGAAAACACGATAAACGCGGTGGACCTGAAGTCAACTCGTTATCATCGTGTGTTTAAATATAATTTGACAGAATTGGATTGTGAAGATATAGAACGACAAACAACATTTACTGCAGGAAACCATGAAAACCCCATTGATCCTGAGCATAAGAATCGATATAATAAAAGTCAAATGACTAATAGGTGAAGAACGTGAACGAACGTTTAGAGATTTTGCTTTAAAATTTTCACCTCATCATATGAACGATGGTGTGAGGAAGATCAGGGCCACAGTTCAGTGCGGCTAAATCTATGGTGTACGTTAAAACTACCCAACTCCCATTAAAGAACTTCAGCTTCAAAAAAACAGCTGAATGTTTCACCAAACACTTTAATTCCTACAAAACTTCTTTACATCTAAATACAATTAGAAATCAGTAGTGTGTACTCACTACAGCAGAAATAAAAAAATTGAGAAAAAAAACATTTGCTTTGCCTCGCCCCACTCCTTTGAGAACCATTGTGCTAAAGTAAAAAAATAAATAAATAAATAAACTGACAGAACTAGTACTGGTAGAACTAGTACCAGGAGCTAGGGGCAGTACCACAAACCATGTGCACTTTCAACTACAGAAAGCAGGAACTAGTGTAAAGATAAACTCTGTGTGTTTTTTTCCCCCTCTAAATAGTTCCTGCTTGCCAGGAAGTACCAGAATATTCAAGGTGAAGCTGGCAACGTTACGAGAAAATAAAAAGAAATCCTTGAGGAGAATATTAGAATTTTTGTCCAAAGACATTCACTGAGATAATGTATGCGCAGCAGCATCAAACTGGGACGAGGCCGTGGTCTGCAGGAAAAGGTCCTGATTATCATAATATTGTGGGGAAAATTATACAAAAGAAAGGAAGGAAAGAGCAGAGTACAATGATTTGATGAAAAAAAAAACAACAACTCTGCAGGACATGGAAAAATGTGAGTGACTCACCAGCCGAAGCAGAAGAGAGCCAAGTAGAAGCCCAGTAGGGTGGCCACCACGTGCCTGATGAACGGACTGGTCTTACTGGGGTGGAGGTAGAGCCGAAACCACACGGCCATCAGCAGGGCGAAGAGCTGACAGGCCACGAAGTTCACCTGCACACAGGAACACACACACACACACACACACACACACACACACACACACACTGTTGTTAGAGCTGTTCGGACGCTGGTACTGAGCCAAATGACTGATATTAAGGCCGATGAATAAGTGATGAGGAATAACAAGTGAGTGAACCACAGACTGGGTCTGAGCCACTCTTGAAAAAACACTGTGTAATGAAGTGTAAATACATTACAACAGGTCCGCTCCCAAATATCTGCTGCACAAACATGGAGGTTTTATCTGCAGTTATTCTTTAATCTCCCCCCAACGGTGTGAATAAGTGACACTGCACCACAGTCACGTCTCAGCACTGGCTGATGTTTTAATGAAGATATGGAATGTTCAACCAAAACTTCAGCCTCTGTCTATAAGTTACATTCGAGGGATGTTTATAAATTCATCATCCTGTATACCAAAGACTGGGACGTGACCCTCAGGTGGGTCGCCAGAGATTTTTTTTTCTTGGGTCATCTCGCATCATGTTTCCCAGGAATAACGACTGAATGAATAATGTCTATTGACTTGGGTTTGTAACTTTTAAAATATGGGTCCCCAGAAAAAAAGTTCGGGAAACACTGCAGGCACCACAGCTGCTTCACCACAGCTGCTTTGTTTAAAAAAAAAAAAAAAATATATATATATATATATATACACACACACATATATATAATTATGTGTGTATATATACATATATGTATATATAGATATATATTTACACACATACAGCATATACATACATATATGTATATATGTGTGTGTATACATGCCGCTCACATTTTCCATATTTGTATGTATATTTATATACTGTAATATATGTGTATACATATAGATACATACACACATATATACATAAATACACACATATATATATATATACATACATACATACACAGTACTGTATGTGTGTGTGTACTTGGTTTCATCTGCTAATGTCTCATAATGGCACAGCTTTGAGGCTTTACTGCAGACAATGGTGACACTGAGTGATCCCTTAAAGTGGACAATGGAAACCTCTTTGTTTAATTACTCACACTTAACCCCACTCACCCGAACCATGCACCACATGCATGTTCCCTCCGTGTTGATTTAACTGGACCGTGATATTCTTTCTGCTTGATTAGGTTTGGAGGAAACTTCCACGACGCCCATCGCACCGCTCTCATCACACACACATCGTCCTATTATCACTCATCACACTGGTTATTGCACTATGGTGTGAGAGTGCGTGTGATGTCTGTGGAGCGGTGTTGCAGGCATCATGTTATTCATCACCACCTCATGGTGTCTGAGGCATTTTCAGACACAAGTACGAAGAGAAAGCCCGTAGTCAGACTTCTGTTGTTGCTGTACTGTAGCAAAAAAATAAACTGTAATTTAGTAGCTGTTATTCCAGCTCAAAAGCCAACCACCTCCTGTGAAATACCTGATCAGTGACAGCGTATAAGAGTATGAAAATCCTAGATCTGGAACATACAGAAGCTGGAAAAAATATGAATCACAACAAATATGTTAAAAGGCAAAGTCCACACTGTGTTCCCTCATTTAAAACCCCTTTATTCTGTTGACGTCATGATAAGTGATGCATGTCTGCCACGACGGTCAACCACAAAATATAGGTCACGTTAACAGATCCATCTGGCCAGAAACCAGCGGAAGGCCAGAGACACCATGAGCACCATCCATTATCTATAGAACCTACATGATTAATGGGGAGGGAGAGGGAGAGGCTTAAAGGCACGTGGGCCCTTTAAGTCAGCACACTAACAGATGTAGTACCAAATCATCCGCAGCATTATGTCGACATTTGTCACGCAATATTAACATTTTTTTTTTTCTAAGCAGGGGAGAAAATATTATACACACACAGATGAGTGAGATGAGTGTTGGAGATGCACATATGGAGCGGTGCGGCGCAGCGTGGGATGCGGCAGAAAGGGGAACTAGTCCTAAAGGGCGTGGGGTTCAAAATACGAACTTACGAACGCAATACAGTATTTTACGAACATTTATTAACATCAGTCAGCAGTTGTTCATATTTACGAATGTTTGTATGTCGGACGTTTGTATCGCAGGGAACTGCTGTAAAAATAGAATATATATGTATATTTACATATATATACACACACATATATGTATACATATGTGTGTATACTATATTCACTATATATTCACCTTATATATGTATACATATGTGTGTGTATACTTTATATATATTCAACTATATATACATATATGCATATAGAGTATATATACATTTCAGCAGTTGTTCATATTTACGAATGTTCATATGTCGGACGTTTGTATCGTAGGAAACTCCTGTAAAAATAGAATATATAAATATATATATATATATATATAAATATGTATATATACATACATATATATGTATACATATGTGTGTGTATACTTTATATATATTCAACTATATATACATATATGCATATAGAGTATATATACATTTATACTGATATACATTGGATAAAAGCTGCTGCTAAATGCATAAATGTAAATACATATACATATATACTCATATTTTTACTACTGTAATACATAACTCTTTCATCTTATATTGTCAATCTACTCACACGTTTACATTTTTTTAAGTCCGTTCTGACATTGCCATTATTGGGGCAGTGGTGTCTTAAGAAAGCAGACCTGGGTCTAGGAGGTTTCAGGTTCGAGTCCACCAGCTGCCAAGTTACCACTGAGGTGCTCTGAGCATGGCACCGTTCCCACACACTGCTCCACGGGCGCTTAAAGCTGCCCACTGTTCACTTTGGCGATTTCGTTGTGTGCAGTGGTGTGCTGTGTCACAATGACAAGGAGGAGTTCACTTTCACTTTCATTGTTTATCCACCTGCTTTTATGACGTGTGCTGCTGCCTTTTCTCGGCCAGGTCACCACCGTGAAGGAGGTCTTGATCTCAACAGGTCTTTACCTGGTTATTAAAGGTTAAACAAAATACGTCCTATAGATGAGTAGACACAACAAGTTATCAGAAGGAGTTTGCAGAAATTAGATCCAGAACTGTCATGACGCCACGGCTCAGAACCTAATCCAGGAGTAAAACCAAAGCCTTCTTCTTACCTGGCATGAACTTCACGGTCACGGACGATCAGATCACAAGTGGACGGCTCTAATTAGGTCAGTCCACAGCTGGTTCCAATACTAGGAGATTTTTTTAGTTCTGCTTCTAGATTGTATAACTATCATATCAACGCAGTTTTGTAATGTAATTTCACTCATTTGAAATAGTATAAAGACTAGACATCCATGTCCATCCATGCAGCAGTAAAGGTACAGTTCACAACCATGTGTCCCAGCCCAACTAGGATGTGGGCCAAACAGGAAGAAACGTAAAAAGAAAATGTACGGCAGCTCCCAAAGCCTAATGATTGAGCTGTGAACCACATGGACCCAACGCTCCACTCCGCTGCACACCCGTCATCCTCCCACCTCCGCAAACATGTTTGTGTGAGTTAAATATGCCACGACGTTTGGTCTGCACTTGGTATCAGACAGAGTTTGGGGTAAAAAAAAAATCCTAACCTCAGTGTTACAGCCAGATGAAGTCAGACTGCTGTAGGTACTGTTAATGTAACGTAAGTAAGCCGTTTGCTGTTAGCAAGCAGGTTAACTACCTCTTTCAGACTACTAATGTGCTTGTACGGTATTCACTTACATCTGCAAACTGCCTGAGCAAATACCCACACACAGAAAGGTAAAACGGTCTAAAGAGATCAGTGTTATTTATTTTTATAGTGTATTTGGAAGACGACAGGTAAAACGACAAATTCCTCTGCTGTCTCCTTCACATGTCTGAGCAGAAACATGTCCAGAACAACCGCTGGATAAATCTTAGTATCTGTTGATTTATGCCAAAAGACAAACAGCCCTGCCCAGTTAAGTAAAGGTTGGACCTACTTACACTGACAGACGTTAGCATGATTCACTTATGACTCACACAACTCTACTGTGATCCTTCAGTGAACTGCTAAGTAAGTTAAAGGCACTAAATCGTCATCTTTTTAAACTTTTATCGGTTTCCTCTGTAAATCATGGTGTTGCTCAATGGGACATTTATCCCCATGACCAAAATGACAGACTGCGAACCAGCAAACATCCCACATTCAGTCGAGTCACTGATTCATCAATGGTGCTCACAGATGCAAAAATAGCCACTAACAACAGACTGTTAGAGCGAGGAGCTCTGACAGGGCGACTTTTCCTGGGCCTAATTATGTACATGCCTACAAAGAAAACACAGCACTGAGCCAAAAGGTACCACATTCTTTACAGTGGGATTTGAAATGGAATGAATGGGAGTTCTATAAAACTTAGGCTTGTTCTCTTTTGTCAACTCTCACTCATCTTGAAGAAAGTTTCTGAGCAAAATACTCCAGTCATAGCTCTGAAACCTGAAATCTGTGACGCAGTGTTCTGAATCCCAACTTCTTAGAAATGTAACGACTGAGCAGTAGGCGCCTGACCACAAAAAGCTGATGACCACAGTCTGGGAGTCTACCATTTCAGAACACTGGTCGATTTCCACAGATTAAGGAAACAGGCAGAAAGGCTTGGAAATGATTGGGTGAAATGTAAAGTTAAAATTACCAGATATATATATACACCCAAAAATAAACCTTACAGTCGCAAGCAAATCGACTACTATTTTCAATTTAGCCAACAATCTGAAAGTCAGTCAGTTTAGTTTCAATTTAGCCAACAATCTGAAAGTCTAAGTCAGTGTTTAAGAAAACAGTACAAACCAAGTATCTTGTCAATCATAAGAGGATGACACCTGGAGTGACATTTACAGTCAACTGTTCAGACATTCTCCTTAAACCAAAGAATATATATCGTTACATGATTAGCAGTCAAACCAGAGTGTAAGGCCACATATAATTATGGGAAATAATAGTTATTTAATTCAATTTGTCCGGTAGTCTGAGTTCGGTTCAGTAGTTCAGTATAATAATATACCAGG